TTGATAAAATCATATCTTGTGGTCTAGACAACATTCCTGTCATAGTGTTACAAAATTGTTCTCCAGTCTGTATTCTGAGTCTTGTTTTCCTGCCTGCTCGAATATGGCATCTGTTGTTTTAATTTTCAAAAACTCAGGTAAACATTTTGACCTTTCCGATTTATGTCTAATCAGTCTTTTTTCTAGTATTAGCAAGTTCATTGAGTCTTTGATAAGCAAATTTCTCACATCCCATCTTGAGTCAAATTTTGGCATGCTGGTCTTCTCCATAAGCTTGTTACATATGGTGTATTTGGGAAAGTTTTTGAGATTATCAAATCGTTTCTATCTAAATGCTTTAGTAAAGTCATCCTTGAAGCTAAACACTCTTCTTTTTTTCTAAAGACTTTTGGGGTATATCAAGGTTCTACCTTGGTGCTTTTTTGTGGAGTCCTTTTTTGAGTTAAGGAGAGTGTTGAAATTGAAACACCTATGAAACAAATATTTTACAACTGAGGATGCTTAAACTATAAAATACTAATGATTTTATTTTTTTAAACATCTTCAACCCTCGGAACTATGGTCAGCATACGGCATTGCCAACCTAACTGCTGACCTCAAAAAGATTGATGTTGGCAAATTACTGTTAACCTCATTTTTCATAATTCTGAGGGTTACATCTTCAATTCCAACAGGCTGCAAGTAACCACTATAAGAGTTGGAAGTTACTGGAAGAGAAAAAGAAGGAACTTAAAATTATAACTTTATAAAATGATTAACAGACAACTTAAAAGATTGCAAATAATATGAATCAGAAAAACAAGCTGAAGGAAGCGAATTCCAAAGAACTGATGTTCAAGGAAAAAAACTAGACAGAAAAGAATTTTTGGAGCACTTAGGAATAGTCACAGTAAAAGGGTGAGATTTGATTAAATGACAAGAAATTTGAGAATGAGCTTTAGTAGATGGTACAAGAGACCCTAGCTCTTTAAAATAGCGCCCCTTTTAGTATTTATAGAAAAGAGAAAAAAAGCAATATCACGACAATGTGACAATAATTAAAAGATGGCTGCAAGAGCAGATCCAACTATGTTTACAATGCACTTTTGCACTTTGTCTAAATGAGAAAGAACATCATTTGAATATCCATTCCAGATGTGGAAGCAGTATTCCATATAAGAACGGATTTGAGTTTTATAGAGATAAATAGAATTCTGTGTAAGAAAGTGGTGAACGCGATAAAGAGATGCAAGCTAAGCAAATGCTCATTTTGCAACAGATTTGATATATAGTTTCCAAGAAACATCAGAAGTAATAGTAATTCCTATATATATATATATAAGTAATAAAATATAAGTAATAAAAACAAAGATAGGCGACTCATCAAGTACATTAACATTCATAAATATAGGAAGATCTAGATTGTGATAACAATTAGCAAAAAAGTTTTTAACTGATTTAAAGATCACTAGCCGCTGCGAGTCATGTGATGTAGCAGAATAGAGATCCTTTTAAAACATCCCCTCCAAACCATCAGATAGTGTTGGCTTCTTATCATGACAAAAATAAATGATAGTATCATCAGCGAACAATGTTACCTTAGATGTGAGAATATCTGGAAGATCATTAATGTAAATTAAAAAAGAATAAAAACAAGGATAGAACATTGAGGAACCCCTGAAGTTTCAGGAAATGAAGAAAATTAATGTCCATCGAGGACAATTTTTATACTACAACTTGTAAGAAAAGATTCAAGTCTTAAAGATGTTACCTGATATACTGTAAGAGAGCTTATGGAATAGCTCACCATGTTAAACTTTATCAAAGGCTTTAATAAGTGATAGCCCTAACCTAAATGTAAGTGATAGCCCTAACTTAACCACATCTATTTAATCCACAATAAAACCTATTGGTTATTACTATTAAAAAATTAGCAGTAGAACAAAAAGATTGAAATCCATATTGATGAACAGACTGTAAGTTATTAGATTCAAGATGAGAGATTGATTGTTTGTTAATTAAAGACTCAAAAACCTTGCTTATGATAGTAGTTAGACGAGTCAGATCGCTAGAATTTTTGAGAATAAGGATAACAGATGCCACTTTCCAGCAGGCTGGAAAAAAGTATAGACAACAGCTCTAAAGAACACTTCTGCAAGACTATAATAGGCATGTTGTCCGAACCACAAGTTGTAGAAAAGTCTAAGCAGGTAATCACTTTAGATAGAGAAGCTGGAATGATACAAATGTCAAGCAATGAATAAACCTGTGTCAACTATATCAGGTAGGATGTAATTAATGGAATCAAGAGATAAGACTGATGAAAAGTTCTTAGCAAACAATTCCACTTTGTCTCCAGTTCAGGTAAAAAAATCTAAACCATGCAAGAGAGGAGGAATAACAGCTTTGTCTTTATTATAGACCCTGTTAAAGATTCCAGAAGTCTTTAAAGCCTAATTTTTTAGATGAATTATAATATTTTGTGACCTGAGAATAGCAGGCTTTGGCATTACATCGAAACTTTTTTACAATGGTTTCTAGAAAAAGTAAACTGAGGTCTGTTTTCTGGAGAATTCTTTTCAAGATAGATATGAAAGATATGGTTTCCATTAAAAATTGCAGCAGCATAATTAGAAGAAAACCATGGAAAAAAGTGAGACTTAATTTGGAATTATCAAGAGGGAATAAAAGATTCTATGCCAGTCTGAATCCAAGAAGTTACATAATAACCACATTTGGAAGACAAAAGATTTCCATCAAAAGGCCATTATGAAGAAAATTATGGAAATAGTCCCAGTAAGATTGAAGGTAGTTAAGAGATACAATGATAAGGGGATTCTGATGATGACGAAGAATGAAATAATAGTTTTAGAGAGATCAAACCATGATCAGAAGCATGTAAGGGTGAATTTGAGAAACTGAACACTGACTAGGATCTGAAACAAGGCATAAGTCAAGTAGAGAAGGTAAATGATTCAGATATCTGGAAAATGAGTTGAAAAGATTACTATTAGTGTTAGAGATTGAGAAATGCAAAAGTTGTGGGCCTTAACACCTGCAAAGTCACAGACACTGAGAGCCAAGCCACTCAGTGTGATGAGCATTTAAGCCACACAAAAACAACGATATTGGCTGAAGGATAAAGAGAAAGGGTTTAGTCAATTTGATCAGATATAACATCGAAAAGAGTGCAGTTTTGAGATAAAGGAGAGAGATATAGAAAAAAGAAAAAGGTGATAGCGAAGTGGTGCTAAGCAAAATTATATAAAAGAATAGTTTGTGGAAGCAAACATAGTTTTCTGATAAACAGCTGAATTCTTACAAATGCAATCTTTGGAATTAGGAAAAATAAGGTCAGCAATAATTTGCCAATCTCAATGTTCAAGAGATTGGCATCAGGTCAGCAAAAAATATTTGGTACAAAGGTCTTATAATAAAATATTGAAACGAGGTCGGCAATGTTTTGCCAACCTCAAACACTTTGCCGAATGCCGACCCTTAGTACAAGGGCTGCAAATGTAAATGCTCAGGTTAAACATGTGAATATTGGAGTCTTTACAAATTAAAGGAAGATAACCATTAACACTAAGATCACAAGATGAGACAGCTGTACTCAAATAAGTCTCATAATGAGCAAGTAGGTCTGGTGAACTTTACAAGAAATAAGACTCAACAGAAAATACTTTGAAGACCACAAATATTAGTGAATGATAGATTTAGAGAACTTGGTGATGACAATGGTTTTTTGTGTTTTATAGTTTTTGATACATTAGACATTTTTGGATTTGTTAAAAAACTTGATTCAAAGCACAGATAGTACTCAGCACACTATTTAATAGTCTAAGCAATATCCTCTTTACTATTAATAAACCCTAAACCATAATAAAGGGCTCTAAATGTGGCATCCACAATGCACATTAAAAGTATGAACAAGGGAATGATTCATGTGCACTGTTAATACTGATACTTTGGAGCTCTTGATGCAATCAGCCTCTCTGAGAGCTACCACAGAGTTCAGGAAACCTGACAATCAAGGAATTTTTAAGGAATCAAATTCTTTTACTCCTTAATCAGAGCAGCTTGCTTTTTTTTAAAAAATACCTAGTAAAATCAACAGAAATTAATTAAAAATTATTTTCTTCTTTACAGTGACAACTTAATTAATTCCTTAAAAACATATAATAGGATTAAAATAACCTGGCCCCGACCCTGGTCTATTATCAACCCAATTGCTTACATATGTTGCAGCGATTATTCATTTACTATAATACAGTCATACCACTATTCTTAAAGAAAATTACTGCAACATAGTAAAATATATATGAGTTGTGGTGTATATGCATATATTTTATATTTTCCAAACAGGTTTTCTCTATATTCAGATATCAGCATATTGATTTAAGAAATTTGTAAGGTGTCCAGAGCTCTTAAGTTTTTAAAATGGATATGAGGGAGACTTTATTAAATTGCACCGCCACAAGATATTTGCCCCACTAAATATCTTACCATTTTAAAAAAAGGTCCTCAAAATAGGCTGAGTAAATATATTTAAAATATTATCATTTATTTCCATCATCATAAATACATTTTAACACTATTTACATTTTGAATGCTCTTAGTTATACTACCAAGTGACTTTGCTTTCACAACGACACCCACCAATATTATATCCAGTTGAAATTAAGTTTGATTAAAACTTGCTAATAAGAGGGAGTTTTTAAAATTTTTTGTTTGTGCTGGAGCGACATAAATAACTCTATAAAATTCAGAAGACTCCAGCAAAATAAAGTAGATTTGACAAGTCTAGGCATCATTTACACAGTTTTAGGAATTTGCCTTATTCTTACATAAAATGGCTTCTTACATATATTAAGCTGAAAACTTCTTTAAAGAACTTAATATCAGAGAAAAATTGATCACTAATATTTATGTAAATCATGTTTTTATCACATGTAAATAACTTGATTTAGATTAACTAGATTAATTTTAAAAAAAGATATTAATAATTATAATAAATTTACCAAAATATCTTCCTGTGTACCCATCATCATGATTTTCATTCCTGGCTTTACCGAAAGTAAACATAGTTTTGTATCATCAGTAAATGGCTTCCCTATAAATTAAGATAAATTTACCTAATAAAAATGACACATTGTTGGTGTGAAATTTGCAAATTTACATTTTCTAAAAATCATAAAACTGTATTTTGTGATAACTGCCACCTTAATTGGGTTCATCTAAAATCTAATGATCTTAATGATATCAACTATCAAATGTTAAAAAGAAAATCAATGGTTTTGTAAAAATTGCTTGACCAGCATATTTCTATTTAATAAAGATAGTAGTTCTAATAAATAAAATTTTTGCAACAACTAACAACAATCAAGTCAACAAAACTATTTCAACCCTGTGACAAATCAAACAAAGAATATAAATATACTGGAAAAAAATGCTATCAATTTAACAAGATAAATCAAAATTGCAGAAGATTGCAAACTTTAAGTTTTATTCTTTTTATCCAGTGTGAAAGCTTTCAGAATAATACAAGACACTACATCATATGATGATGCAATCAAAATACTCGACAACAAATATCAAAAACGATCAACAGCTATCATAATGCGCCATAAATTTTGCTCTTTTAAACAATAAGGAGAATCAATTGAAAGCTTCATAAACAATCTGAAATGATTCACAAGAAAATATCCAACAAAACCCCTGATAATAGAACAACAAAATAATTTACTAACAAGTGACACTTTTATTGCTGTAACTTACTCACCTCCTACTCAACAACAACTGCAAAAGCTACAGAAGCAATCTAGAGGCACTTTATAAAACAGCGTACACAAAGGAATTGGCCACGGAAGTATTTAGCTCTTAATTTGACAACAACCATGACAGCTAACACCATGCACAACTTTTGCCGCAAGTCATAGTCTTACGAAATCTCATTGATACTGGTGCGGTAATGATTCATATCAGAAAAATAAATGTCCAGCGCAAAATTCCACCTGCACACCGGTGTCTGTCTTTCGAATAAAAAAAATAAAACCTACACTAAAGCAGCAGTTATTAAAAAATATAATAAAACTATAACGCAAAAATATCTATGGTCATAGCAGCAATTGACTCATCTAATAGACTAATTAACGTCACTATAAACAATAATATAACACAGGCACTGATAGATACTGGTTCCAATAAATTATTTACTCAGGCTTGGACGGGAAGCAGGAGCAATCGCTCCCGAATACTGACCACGGAAATTATATTTAGTTGCAAAAAACTGGCCAGGTTTTTGAGTTGTTTGAGAACAGTTAAGTTTATGTACAAAGCAAAAAACTTTTGTTTTACGGACATACATGGAAACATAAAAAACTTGAATGTTCTCAAAACATCTTGGTGCGGAAGAATAAAAAGAACATTCGCCAAACTAATGAACAAACTAATTCAAAAAACACGCTGTCTAAGCGAAATAAAGTTCTAGAGTATTCTGCTGAAATGTTTGAGAAATTGTATTATTCACGATTTGTTACGTTTTGAGATTTCTAACATAGAGTGTTTTAAGAATATATTATCAATTCTATAGCTCATTCTCAGAGCCACATCTGAAAAGTCGTACAAAACACAAACTATGCATACAAAGTAACTCGCGAATGAACAAGCACCACGTCTGAGGTCACAACAGAACACAAATATATATAGCAAGCTATTAGGTATAAAGAAAAGTTTGTAGATATTGGTTTACAAAATCTAATTATTTTCGCTTAAGTTGCCATTCTTAAAAACTTGTTATACTTTTTTCCGCTTTAAATACTAATTAAAATTAAAAAGCCCACTCACTAAACATCATCAGCAATATTGTTTTGCTTCCTCATCATAAAAGTATTTTTAACTTTTTTAATTGATTTTTATCTAGTCAATTTAATTTCTATAGTAATTCAATGATTTAATTATTTTATTTGTTTATCTTTTTTTCTTTTTTTTAAATTATTCACCTCCCAAAGGCCCGAGGAGGCCACTTCAGTCGAGGAGGCTAGTAATTTTTTTTTTTTGTTATTTTTTTATTTTTTGTTGTAAATTGTGGTACAACCCTCTCTCAACTCTTCAACTCCGAAACATGAACCTTGACAAGTAAAACCGCTGCGCGGAGAAATTAAGTTTAATCTTACTAAAAAGTATCTTACTAAAAAATCTTAACAAAAATAATCTTACTAAAAAGAATTGTTTCAAATATGTTAAACTTTTCAAATTACGCGAAACATAAAATAGGTATTAAAAAATTAACTTTTTTATTTATAAAATAATTTAGCTTAGATAAAACTAAAACTTGCAAACTTTGATAAATAAAGAACATTTGTTTCTTTTTTAAACAAACGTAAGATGTTACTTTATATAAAAAACGCTGCTTAACTTGATTAAAAAAGTATAAAAAAGCGATGTTTCGAAAATATTTGATCTAAACGTAATTTATTTTGCTTTAAGTTTTTTCACATTGAAAGATATTTTATTTTCTTAATTTTTTTTTTTTGTAATTGTTTCTTAGCAGTCCAATTAATCTTCTGCGCATTTTTTCTTGCTTTTTGAAATGTTTTCAAATCGCTCCTGTTTCCCGGCCAAGCCTGATAACTACATCAAAACTTTTTTGACTTTGAAACCTTTCTTACAATACTTAATCTACCTTGAAGGTATAATTGGTAGATAACTCGATATTAAAAGTTTAAAGAATCTTCCATTTTAACACAACATGCCTTAATTATTATCAATTTTAAAGTAAAAAAAAAGCCTTTAAAATTCTGTCTGGCGACAAAAAGTATGAAATGTACTATTAATTACGCATTAATACCTGGAAAAAATATTGACAAAATTAAAATGGTCACTACAGTGTATAAAGACATCCAATCATGTTTTTGAATTAATTTAACACATTTTATATTAATTCTCTACTAAAAAAATTGTCTAAAGAAAACAAAACTATATTTATTCATAGACACTTTAACATTGACTTATTAAAATGTGACTAGGATCAACCTTAAAATTTTTTTTGAGACTCACTCACTTCAAACTATTTCTTTTTCCATATTTTCCATGCTACTTAAATAATTTGTATACCAAAAACACAAATTGCTTCAATAATATTATGTTACAAAACACAAGTTCTAATGACTGCACTTACATGCTTAAGAATACAATTGATAATATCAATATACTATGATACACACACACCTTTACAAAAAAATTACTGAGTAGATACTAAATTGAAGGCAAACCATGGATATCAGATGACCTTAAAAAATCTATACAATAGAAAAATAAAATTTTTATTTAAATATGTTAAGTCTAAAAATAAAGTGAATAAAAAGTATTCTATACATAAATATAAACTTATGTTTATAATGTACATAAAAAATCTGCTTAGTGATTTACAATTTGAATTTCGAATGTACTATTCAACATTATTTGAACTACTAAATTTGACTGAAAACATTAAGAATGCACTTGAAGGAGGAATGTTTGGATGCAGCATCTTTATTGATCTCCAAAAGACTATTAATATTGTTAATTCTGTGATCCTACTTGAAAAGTATCTTACTATGGGATCAGAGTGGTGTAAAATTTATTGTTTTAGCATTCAATTGAAATAAAAGCCTTGTTGGACACTGAATGCTCAAAATCAATTTTAAGTTGTGATATTGTAAACATAAAAAATGTCAAACCAGCAAGAGAAAAGGTTGTTATGATGAATGGTAAGTCAATTGAAGTAAAAGACCAGATTGTTCTTGATCTTTCTATAAATGGTACCACTGTTGGTTTGAAATGCTTGGTTGCTGATATATCAAAAGTTACTTGGTATGGACACAATATGACTGCTTGGAAGTGTCCAGGTTGGGAGAGACTCATATTTCTGTAAGTCTTTTTGGTTCCATAAAAATTTTTGGTTTAATAAAATAAACTGTTATATCTGAAATTTAGTCCAAGTCTGAATAATTTAATTTCTTAAATCTGTTTAGCATTGTCTGTATTACAACATCTTTACTTGGGACACAAACCATGTGCTTTAAAAGTGAGCTAGAAGTTTTCACTCATGTAGAAAATATTGCACTGGCTAATCCTAAAGATACTTTAAACCTATCAGCGAGATCAGTTGCCAGTAATCCAAGTCTTAGCTTCATTAGCAAAAAACTCATCTTTGATGCATAGGTTTCATTTTAGTCCAAGTTTAGGTTTCTTTTTTTACATTTCAAAAAACAACAGTAGATGTTTTTTTAACACCACCTCATCTTCTTTTAAATAATGGTGATATTGCACTATGTAACTCATGAAACACACTGACAGAAGTAAGGTCAGTATAAAAGTCACAAGATCTATCATTTTTTTAATAAATTTTGGTATACTCAGACTGTCAAGCAACAACTTTATAAAAAAATGAAAAAAATAGGCTATTTTGAGAGGGAAAATGACAAAAAATGAATAAATTTTATTGAAAAATGACAAATTTTATTGAAAAATGACAAATTTTATTGAAAAATTGAAAACACCAACAACCATTTTTAAAGACAAAATATATCAGAAGTCATAAAAAATGTCTAAAATAATATAAAATAAATTAGCAAAATAGAGAAAACACCTAATAACTTGCAATATCAAATAAGGTTCAAAATAATTAAACAAGAAGTTTACAGCAACTTTTTTTTACAATACTATTTTGATTTTTTGAAACGATTAAACTATTCACTTCACTTTTTCATTTTATATCAATAATTACTCTTAACTTTTTTGTTCATTTCATTGTGCAGTAGCATTTGCAAGTTTTTTTTTTTTTTTGCACTATTCGCCATTTCATGGGCAACTTTTATACCTATCATGTCTTCTTTATTGATGGCACTTTGCATAGACTTGGTCGCTTCATCCAGCATTCTTTGAGCAAGTTGAAACTCTAGATCAACATTTTTTTTATCATTTTCAAAAAAAAAATTTCTTTGATCTAGGTTTTTGTTGTTTTTTTGAACTTTTTCAAGCATTTCTTTGTGTTGTTTTTTCTTTGTCAATAAGATCTTACTTACGAATAACTTTTTTTTTTAATCTTCCTAAGCTTTTTTTTTTATATAT